CGGTGGTGCGCGAGGTCGGCGTGGGGGCCCCGGGCCTCCCCGCACAGCGCGAGGAGAATTGCCTTGTCCTCCGGGTGGAGGGCCGGGACGAAAAGCGGGGCCCCCTCCGGCGTCGGCCGCGGGCGATCGAGCAGGTCGTGCCCGTCGGCCTCCGACAGGACCGTCCGGGGCTGCTCCTCGGCGGGGCCGTCCGCCGGGGGAGGGCGGGCGCTCCGCGCGTTGATGACAGCCTGCACGTGTTGGTGCTGCTGCCATCGGGTGCGGACGCCGAGGATGGCGGCCTCCTCCCACGCCAGCCCGCTCCGCTCCGCGGCCCGTCGAAAGGTGCTCTCGGCGAAGTCGCCGCGGTGGTAGTAGGCCTGGACGTGGCCTACCTCCAAAAGGGCCCCCACCGCAATCTCCTCCGCAGGCTGCGCGAGAATCCCATCCACGCAGGTGGAGAGCCGCACAAACACGCTGTGCGCGCGGCGCTGGAGGCAAAGTTGGTGGCGAAAATGGGCGCGGAGTCGCCATAAACTCGTCAGGGGAAACCGGGGCGTCGGGGGGCCCCCGTTGTCATTTTCACCGGAGGTGATAATAGCAAGAATGCACAACAAGAGACCGCTCAGCCGCGTACAAGGGAGGGGCATCTCCCCATCACTCGCCAAGAGCCTCTGCAGGAATGTCTCATGCAGGGGGGCCTCATTGTTCTTGTCGTCGCCATCCGCATTTTCCCCGCATTCCGTGGGGAGGCCGAGTGGGGGCGGTGGAAGCGCGGCCGCGCCAAACCGCTCGTAGACGGCGCGCAGCTCCGCACGCTCGGCGGGGCGGAGTTCACCGGTAAAGTTTTCCGCGTTATAAAGCCGAAGCCCCCACTCCACAGCTGGGATCAACGCCCTGTCCGTATGGATGGCGTTCGTCTCGATATAAACGGCCACATCGTGAAAGTACGTGTCGCGAAGCTTCTCGGCTTGCTCGATCGTCAGGGTCAGTTTGCCGGCATCCAAATACCCTGCAGGCACCGGTGGGGCTGGAACACATAGAAGTAACTCAGGAGGCGTGAGATCGTTGCTTGACATAGCAAGTGTGAACCATAAAATAATAATAAGTAGAAAAAAAATTAATGATGTGAATAAATATTATCTAGCCAAATGTCAAGTGAAGCAATTTTTTTTTAAAAAAGTGAGAAAATGTGAGTGAACGCAACACATAACCTGGATGAGACAAATAGAATGAAACTATTTCACTCGTACTTAAAAGAAAGCAGCTGGAACACGGACATTCCGATACACTTTATCTTTGATTACGTAGCCTTTACCCTTTAGCAAGTTCCATATATATTTTTTTGAAATAGAAAATACTAAAAAGAGGACAGCAGCTGCGGTTCTTTGTGATTGCATTATTGCTCCGCTTTCGATGGTTAACATCTTCCTATACACTCATTCTCTTTCTCTTTCCTTTTTGCTGTCCCTCATGCGTTTGTAGGATTCAAATATGACGCGTAGTTCCCCCCGATGTGATCGCAGCAGACGCAATTCAACTCCAACTTACCGCCTTGAATCGTCACGTAGCGATAAAACGCCTCGGTGAAGCGCTTGCGAAGTGGAATCCGCACTGCCTCGTCGCCGCCGCCACCCTCCGCCCATTCATTCCCCGTGTGGTGGGAGGCGGCGACGCCGCCATGGATCATCCCCTCCGGCTCGTAATCCCCACGCGGGGAATGCATGCCGAGGCGGGTCCCAAAGCTGAGCTTTCGGAATTTCTGCATGAGAGAGAACCTTCGCGCGCGCCACCGCTTGATGGGTAGATCCAAGGCCAGGAAGACGACGGGAAAAAAAAGCGAGGCGATGGTGTGCAGGGTTGACGGGACAAACGCGGCCCCGAGGGCCGACCTCGGGGTGTTCACCAGGACGAGCCCCATCGTCAACCCCACCACAAGGGCGCTTGCCTTTAAAAAGCGCGCGAGCTGGTGGCGAGCCGACGGTCTACCATGACAGAGCTGGTGCGGTAAGCCCAGTGTAATGGGGTGATACCGGCTGAGGTGCGTCCAGCCGTGCAGGATGATCCAGTAGTTCAGCGTCCAGCAGACGTAGCCCCGGGCGGCGTGCATGCAGTCCTCACTGGTGCGCTGGGAAAGCCCCTGGACGTCGGCCCCGCAGAGGCCCTGGGCCGCCGTAAAACCCAGCGTGAAGATCCCCAGCACGGACGGGAAATAGCGCAACCCCCACACCACCACGCCGTGCCGGCAAATGGCAAGACGGATGAAATAGTTCGCGCGGGAGGGCATGATCTTCATGATATCCACGCTGGAGTGCGCCGTGTGGGTGAGAGCCAGGGCCAGAATGGGTAGGATGAGGTTAAGCTCAACGATAACGACAATCGGATCCAACAGAAGAAACCCACCCACCAGCAGTGTGAGAGTGTTGACCATCACCACGAAAAGGTTGGTGTGTAGGATAAACTCAACGCAGTTGTTGATGCCGCTGAGCTGAATCCGCGCCTGACGGACCAAGGTCACCAAGATGGATAAGACCGACGTCGTCGGCGGCGAGCGCAGCGTACAAGCGCATCCAAACAACTCCGCGATATTGCGATAGAGCGGAAGGTCGCGGTTGAGGGCGTTGGTGGCGGAAAAATCAGACGGCTCAACAATCCGGCTGTGCTTGAGAACGTGCTCCTTGTCTGCATTCACTCCGCGCCGTGTGGGGAGAACGCCGACAGCCAGATCGGCCTGTGTGAAGCTCCGGATGTTGCTGTGATTAAAAACAGAGCCCACCGCGATCACGACCTCGTGATTGTCCTGCAGGATGGAAAGCATCGCCCGCGTCGCGACGCCGTGGGCATGGGAAAACAAATTCACCTGCAGTGGAATAGGGTCGACGTGGAGAATGTGCTTTCGGATGGACTTGATGCCAAAGGGCAGTTGGGCGCGAATACTGTAGGGGTCCAGCGCGACGGCATCACTTTTCAGAGAAATACAGCAGTTCCAGTCCGTCTCCAATCCCACACGAGAGCCGAAGCTGTGCGCCCGACACTTGTTCCCTACCACGAAGTACATGCACCGCACACCGGCCTCGTCAAGCATCGCCATCGAGGTCTGAACGTTAGGCCGCACCGAGTCCCTCAGCGCGACAAGGCCGAGGAAGGTGTGTGAATTCGTGGCCATGAGGCGAATAAAAGTTTTGGTCGTCAGGCAGTCGTCTTCCTCCAAGGCCCCTGCCTTCTTGCTGGGTTGATCGCCGAAGGACAACGACCGCTGCGGCATCAGGCGCGGCGCGCTATAGCGTAAAGGCAGTGTCAATGCTGAAAAGCTCCCACTGCGGTAATGCCGCGCACCTTGCCCGTTGCCGCGGCGAGCAGGCCGGATGTCGTCATCCCGATGCCCACAGCTGCCCTCCATGATATCGTAGAGTACCTTACTGGGGTGGTTATGGCCCTTTGTGGGGCCCGCCTCCTTTTCGGAGCCCTTCCCCCCGCCTTTCGGGTGGGAGGCAGCCCGCTCGGCCTGGGCTTTCTTCCACGAGTCGCAGTTCACCTCCTCGCCATCGCAGAAAAAGTACTCATGGTAGCGTCGTGGGTCGCGCGGTAGGGTGTTGACGAAGGACCGGTAGCGCTCCGGCAGCACCCGGTGGGCGAGGGCGACGGTCTCGTAGCACATCCGGTCCTCCCAATGGTGCTTGCCGGTGTGCAGGACCTCGGCCTTTTCCTCCTCGTGAAAGGCCTCCACCGTCGTGCCGGTCCAGTACGTCGTGCAGTGCTTCGTGACCAGGTGCGGCGTGCCGAGGGTGAAAACGTGCAGAATGCGGTCGCCGTCCTCGAGCAGGAGCGAACAGGCCTGCTCCGGGGTCCGATCGTGGTAGCCCGCGCTCCCCGAGGTCGCGATGGTGAAAATGCGGGCGATGACTAAAAACCCGTCCGCGACGCTGTCGGAGAACCCGTACGCGCGCGGGATCCAGTGCATCGCGCGACTCCAGCGCAACGAACGGTCCACAAAGCGAAACGGCTCCGTCCACGTCTCCAAGCTCATGGAAGGCTTGGCCAAGGCGTGCACGAGAATCCCAAGACATATCGGGCGGACATGCATTTGGTACTTCTGGGAATCCTTCCCATCGGCGAACTCCACCGCGAGGTCCTCCTTCGCGCTCTGAGTGAAGCGCAAAGTGGCGAGACGCTTAGCCTGAAATTTGTTCCGCTTGACCTGCTTCTTCATATTACGCCGCCGCTCTCTCACCTTGACCTCCTCGCACCCCGTAAGGCAGTCCATGATATTGTCCTCGCTATCACTCGAGGAGCTGGCCGCTTCGGGGGGTGGTTTTAACATCAGAACTTCAACAGGGAGCGGCACCATATCCGTTACAATCCCCTCCTGATCCAATATCGCGATGACGGAGGCCATCGCCAGCGTATCCACAAGAGAAATGGAGAAAACAAGAGGATTGCGGCCACCGCACTTCGGCTCGACCCTGAAAAAAACCCGCAGCGCCATATACAATGTGGACCAGAATGAAAAGCGCGGTAAACGGTCGTCCAGAGAATGCGTGCGCTTCGACACCAACAAATGGAAGAGCTTGTCCAGAAAAATGTTCGCATAAAGTACGAGAAATCGATTAAGCATAATGGCATTAACGGGGAGAAGCCCCAGTAGAGCAATAGGGGGGTACAGAAAGATACCTTCGTAAAGGGTGGTCTTTCCGATGGAATAACGAAAAAAACCCGCACCGACCGTAGCGAGCATACCAGCAATCCAGAAAAGGAGCATCACACGATGGATAAAGTACTCCATCTGCCGGGAAGCGGATGTGGAAACCCTACCGCTCCCGTCGAACGCGGGGGTACGTGAATCGTTCTCCCCGTCACTTTCGTCGGTGGTGGACTCGTCCTCAATGAACTCCGATGCGGAGATAAATAAGTTAGGCAATCGCGGTGGTTTACACTTGTCCGCAAGGGATTTGAGCACGATCGCGTTATTTTCCAGCGCGACCCTCATCACGTCAACGAGTTTGCAGATTCCGACCGGCTCCACATAGCGACGTGCTCGAAGTGTCGCCTCATCCAGACGCCGGGCCCCTTTTACCATAAGGCATTTCTGGATGTGCTTAAGACGCTGGGTGCGAGAGTCCACGATGGCGACCATTCGAAATGCCTTCAAATTGAGATGCGCAAAGCACTCAATGGACAAAAGACGCCGTTCCTGTGCGGTTTGACTGGGTTGTTTCGCCGAGCCGATGCGTGATGTCCATCGGTGGATCACTTCCGCCATGACGTTTGTCGTGCGGTACTTTACTTCGGTCAGGCGCATCCAAAAGAGATACCCCTGGAGCAGCACATAAATAGCGTAGACCACGATGAATAGGCACGTACAGATCACAACCCGTGCAAAGGAATGCAGCCCACAAGAAATAATAAGCATGGCGCACGCCACCCATATCGCTTTTTCCTGCTTAAATAGCGCACTGCGGAGAATAATATACCAGAGACTCATCGAGTGCCGGAATGAGGCCTGGCTGTTTTCAATAAGCCGACGAAGCTGCGCGCAGATAACCGCCTCATACTCGAGGCTGGGCGTGCCGATGCCGCGTTGGGCGGCCCCCGAGGAAGGGCCGCGAGTGGGGTCCATGGCACCCGCGTCGTGATGCACGGCGATGCTGGACGGGTCCTCACAAGGGGGCACCAGATGGACCAACAAAACATCCTTTGATTTCATTCTAAGCGATGCCTTTGGGTTTGCTTCTCGGCCCACTGCAATGCAAACAAATTGGGAATAAAAATGCTATGGAAAAAGATTATCGAAATAGGAAATCTGCGAAAAAAAACAAGCCATTCATCACCGCCCACGATTGTTTCCACTACACACACGTCAAACACAGGAGAATGCTAAAAGTCTAAAATAATGTTATTACTAAATGAAAAGAAGCTGATCAAATGTAAATCATTCCTTTGATTTGGATTAAAAAAAATATATGTAAGAACACATGTGGTAAAAGAGAGAATACTAAAATTTTCGACACAAATTTCTTACCCATAGCGAGATGCTAAAAGAACATTAGAACTCGTGTATTTCAAGGTTAATACATTATCTCTAGATCAGCTAATTCGATGATGTGATTTTTTTTTATAAAAATCGTCGAGTATTGCATTTATATTTTTTTTCTCACATCGGAAAAAAATGAATTAAAGCTTAACCATGTGAGTTGATTCGAAAAAGAAACTCACTAAAAAAAAAATGAAAAAATCAATAGAAAAATAAAAAACTCTATGATAAGCCCTGTGGAGGGAACTAAAGAATATAAAAAATCTTTAGCGAGCCGCGTTGGAGACAGCTTTAGTGCCTTCTGCCATGGCGTGTTTGGCGAGCTCCGCGGGGAGCACCAGACGGACGGCCGTCTGCAGCTCGCGGGCGCCCAACGTGCGCTTTTTGTTCACCCGCACCAACGTCGCGGCCTCCATCGCGACGCGCTCGAAGAGGTCGTTAACAAAGGAGTTGACAATTCGCGTGGTGCGTCCGGACAGGCTCATTTGTTTGTTAATCGCCTTCAAAGAGCGGTTGATGTAGACATTCCAGCTGCGCTTGGGCTTACGGTGGCGGGTGGTGCTGGAGCGCTTGGCGGTGATTGCGGTCTTGGGAGCGGCCATGGTGATTGAGGTTGGGGTTGGAAACGGTGTGGTCTGAATGCGAAAACGAAGCTCTTAATGGACTAAACATTGAAAGTTATTGGTGGTGGAAAGAAGATAGAAGGATAAAATTCAAAATAATTGAAAAGGCGAAGCAATAGACTAAAATATGTGAAATTATCAATAACAGTGTATCTTAACTAGGTGTACATGCTAGTTAAAAAATAGTAGCCACACAAGTATGTTCTTTATTGAGCAACAATAGAATCGTTTGAAATGACACACCTATTGTAGTTAGGAAACCAAGGATTAAAATATGATGGCAATAAAGTGTTTTGCTCCTTGTTGAAGAGAGAGAAGTGAATAAAAAAATGATATATGGAGAAACCTAACCCCGCCACAGGACCACCATCATCTTTAGCTTATCCTTTCCCCCAAACACACATGCTACAAACACCTTTGTAGAATAATAATAATAATAATAAATATATATATTTATAAGAAATATTATATAAATAAAATATTGATATAAAAAAATGCTTCATTGTCGGTTATCCAGATTCTGTGACAAGATTGATCAGTAAGAAAAAGACACGGCCTAAAGGAAAAATCAAGTAGAATCCTTTTGAAAGATGTTTTTTTTTGTGCATGTGTGTGGGAGGGAGGGGGGGGGGATAGGGGCATTGGCCCACCATGTAAAATATTATAGCGGTAACCTCTAATCGCCCGTTTCTTAAAAGCGTGTTCACTTCGAAGTCACGTAGATATAAAAGCATCTTATTCCTTGCTATACATCAATCCATTGATAAAAATATCACCGGGACTAGACAAAACCTCCACACACACACAAAAAAGGAAAGCTGCATTGATCAATTTTATAAGGATCTGACAGATGGAATATATTGTACTAGTAAAGGCTTATTAGCACATATTGTCAGGATAATATATGTATGAAAGTGATAAATTTATCTAATAATAATAAACCCAGTGGTGTAAAAAAACTGACTCCCATCACCAGAAATAAATACATAAAGGGTTCTCAAATAACCTCCTTCACATAATTTTATGGTAATCTGCAGTATACACTTGAATGTATCATAAGTAACACATCGTACACCAGAATGATAAAGGTATTAATAAAACAAAAATCCAGGAGTATCATCTATTAATTACTCTAAGATGATGGTTTAAACTACGCGGTCCCAATCCAAGGCAGCGAAGATGGTTCGTGATTCAGATCGAGTCAAGAAACTTGATACGTAGCTCTCTGAAGATCACTTCTATACTCAACGTCAATCTCAGAAAAAGATGTACTACACATTTCGGGGGAGGCCCGTCCACGCGTCATGTCTGGTAGGACCATGCGTGAAGTAAGAAGACCCGCTGGGATTGGAAAGCTCACTCAGATCTCCGCAGAGATGCAAGGTTTGGCGTATCATCAGGGGTGGATGGCCTCTCAAAAAAAAAAAAAAGGAAGTGCGCCACCTCCCAAAGCATCTCAGCGCGTTGTGAAGTGCCGGTGACGAGGTCGAGACCATCATGACAACAAGTGGTCTCTCAGCATAGCTTTCCAGGAGTTGGAAGCTCAGCTTGTATACATATGGGTAATCATAATTATGGGTGTAAATAGGATTCCAAGCTTTGTGGGTTATATACGAAAGTGGATAATCAAGATAATCTTACACTATCCTAGTGTCTGCAGATATAGAAGATATAGGCTAGCGCTGATGGGTTGAGAGTCCATGATGGAGGTGCGTATTATATGCCTGTTTAAAAGGTAAAACAATACACCACTTGTCCTCTTCACGATGACGAGGAGATCAAGAAAATCGGTCCTCGTCACAAATGTGAACCTTTTGAGTGTAGAAGGAACACTAAAAGTGTTCTTCCGGATAAAATAAAAATCATGATTTGATACCTTTTGCTCGTATTAAAAAGGGCAAACAAAAAAAGTGGGGGTCTAGATAAATAAAAAGATCAAAATAAGCAGAAATATGAAAGAAACTTGAGAATAAGTTCATTAATATGAAGTAAAACCTATATCAATATAAAAAGAACATAGTTTTGAAGAAAGAAAGCTGTAGTTACTTATTAGAAAAACTTGATGGGTAATTCTACATATTCAATCTTCTAATTTTAAATCCGTACTAAAGTATTGAAACTGTACTTAGATTTACACCATAAAATTAGCGAGATAAAAGGTAAATATTGCCTTGAAGCAAACGAAGGATTAATAACAGCAATTCGAACTATAAAGTTTAACTGAATCGTATTATCTAACTCTCAAAAAAAGTTAAAGAGAGTAATAAAGTAAGAATTATATTAATGATATCAAAAAAAGTCATCTGTTTCATCGGTATACGTGAATCAGTTTTGCATCCCCAGTGTTGCTTTGATAAACCCTGAAATGTGTGTATTCCTTCTTAACTAGAGGTATTGACTCTTATGTTATATACATATACAAACAAGTATATGTCATTCATCTGTTTTTAGATATAAAAAAGCGGGAAAAACAACAACGCAAGATATATTTTGACGAGTAGGTAAAATAAAAAGCCCTTAATCATGATTGGACTATTGCAGTTAATCATAGCGGAAAACCCTTTATCGCCTTATATATACTTATATACATATATATATATGCATTATAAAATTCTTACACTTACTTCTTCATGAAGCCCCCTGTTTCAGCTTCCTCTGGTTCGACTGATGGAATCAACGACGCCGCATTTGTAACCCTGACGATGGGCTCTCGCAGCTTATCTACGCCACTGGCAAGCGGGGTGGGATGTCGGGTGGCGCTGTTGCGGAAGACCGCCGTTGTCGTCTTCCCGTGCATCACCGTTGTCTCGTCCTTCTCGTTGAATAGAATCCGCGGACGCGAGTTGACCGAGGTGGCCGATCGCAGGCTTGGCGAGCCGTGGGGGGAGAGGGACCGCCCACCACGGTGACCCCAGGCCCGCATCATGGTGCACAGCGGCTTGGAGGACGGACGGGGGCCCGCGGCGGGGGGGTGCGCCGTCTCCTTTGCGGTCGACGCGGTTACAGAGGGCGCGGCGGGGGGGCCTGTTCGGTACGGGTGGGAAAAAGAGGTGCGGGTTGCCGTGGAGGCGCGGGGTCCGGGAACGGAGGACCGACGTGCTGAGTCTGCCGCCGTGCCCGAGGGTTGGTTGGGATGGATGCCGGTCGTGGAGACCCCCCGGGGAGTCCTCCGAACCGATGGCTTGCGCGGTGAAGCACAGGCGGAATCACGGTCGGAATTGCCGTGGCGCCAGTTGCTCAGATCGACAGAAGGGTGCCGCACTTGCTTCGGAAAAATACGCAGTTGGGCATCCTCCTGGCCCCGCATAGATGAAGCTTCGGCTTTACGTATACCTTCACGCCGTTTAGAACGCACGCTGAAGTGTGGTGGTGGTGGCGATGCCGATTGGTGATTGGTAATAGTTTCGTCACTTTTACTTTTATTAAAATCGATATGCCCTCCATCAATTACTTTGCTTCTTGAACTAGAAAGCTCAGCACACTCCAGGGAATGAAGCGTCGTTTTTGAAGTATGGCGCATGGCATCAATGGTATGATGTAATATTTTTTCGGAAGACTTACCCGCTAGATTCAGAGTTGGCGCAGGAAGTTGAGGTGTATCGTCTGGTTGCTCAATCCCAGAACGGTTTAATACCACAGTTTTGCACGGGTTATTTAAATGTTTGGACTCCTCAGTGAAAGAATTGCGATCATAAAGAGATGATGACTTCGAGTTTATAATGACTGCGGTAGATCCAGGTGTCTGTGTACGGCTAAGGATATCCGGAATGTTTGCAGTACGCACTTCAACACGAGTAGCCGTGTGTGCAATACTTTGCGGGGGAAGTGTCACACTTGTAGATGCCGCAGCCGGCGTCACTACGGTCGAAAGAAAACGGTTAGCCAGGGTATGTTCCAGTAAACGAATCCTCTCGTCTTTGGCTTCTAATTCGCTCCGCTTGGTCTCGAGAGTTGCTGTGATCTTTGAAATACGTTGCTCAAGCTCCATGATATAGGTTGTTGGAGTCGTGCCCCTTACCGCAGTGTCTGTGACTGTATCTTGCATAAGTTTACCACCGGCACTAGTTGAAAAGGGCATGGCAGCTGATAACGACAAATTTTCAGCTCGTAGATATTCTATTTCATGATTTAAGCTGGAGATCAATCGTTCAGCTTCAATGTTACGCTTCTTTTCATTCGCTAACTCTACCTGTATTGAAAGAAGTAAAGCATCAACGTCTCTTGCGTTGCTATACTGATCCTTGATGTCAGCGTTAGTCCCCAACGTATTCATCAATGTACTTTGAGATGGCCCCATAAGGTGACTTCCTGACGCGAATGAATTCAAAGGACTACCATTAGAATCGATGAGAAAGCCACTTTTTTTGTTATCATCATTACAAGTAGATTTATGATTTTCTTGTATTAAAGATGATAAGTTTGGGCCATGGAAAGGGTTTGGAGTAAACTCCCCCAAGGTTGTAAGGGATTTGGTCGGTAGGGAAGCAATGCCAGAAGCTACGTCGAGTACTGGTCCAGTAACGGCTGAAAGGTCCGTGTTAAATGACACTACACTCTTTTTAGTAATAACCTTTAGACCTATATCATCACGTGGTTCTACGTCTGCAATGTTCGGCACAAGCCCTGAGCCAGTAAGTCGCTCCTGTAGTCCCCTGGTGGCAACAGGACTGGGGCCCATCTCAGCACAGAAGAGGGAGGAATTCAAAGAAGATTCACCTTGATGCAGACCTTCCCCAGAGTGTGATGCAAGAGCGGAACCCAAAAACTCTTTGAACGGGTTTAAGTTATGAGAGCAAAAGTTTCGAGCAAGGCAATCACCGGTCAAATCCACTTCTTTTGGGTGAGCACTTTGTATAGTTTCATGAGTATCGGTCGTGTCACTAGTAGGTAGCCTGAATGGAATATTATCAGATCTGGGAACTGTTAATACGCATTGAAAATCTGTTGACGTACCTTTAGAATTGTGCTCTATGATTCTATCAGAGTTGCACAAGGCACTACATGTATCCGTGGGATCCATAAATTCTTCACATGTCTGGTAGGGCTTCTCCAAGATGTGGTCTGGATCCTGAGAGGCAAAGGATATGTTTTGAGTGGATGCAGTGCTGCTGTCACTTCGGTAGAACTCAGTACTCCGCGTCCGCATATCCCGTAGAAATTGTCTTCTGGACATATGAAAAGGAAAATCGATCAGAATAACTTGACGCCAAAAAAAAGCTAGGGTTAAAACACACTTGAAAAGAAATATAGAGTACAAAAATAATAAGTTGACTCCAATATATCAATATGTAAAATACATCAAATCGTCTCAGGTTGATAAATTGTATAATTCGAAGGTAAAAACCTTATTACGATGGCTTTATTTTTCACAAAGTCAACTCCCTGTTGATCATGTTCAAAGAACATCTTTACAGTAGCGGAAGAACATGACGTCATAGATTAATAAAAATAAGACCTCTTCAACTCTGCAGGTTGAAACATCATTCCTGAGGTCCAGAGCAGGGACAAGGTGCCTATTAGGGTAACGAAAAAAATATTATCACAAGAAAATAAAAAAATTTAAATAGTTAACAGCAAAAAAAAATGTAGAAAATGGATAAAGAAAAAGGGATAAAGGTAGTTAGTCGTTGTGAATCTTTACACAAATTGTCTTCTGAAGTAATATCATTATCAGCTTAGCATACCCAAGATTAATGACCTTCGGATTTCGCTCCAACTTAATGTCAAAGGAGCTGTGAATCTTGAAGTTGATGACGTCAAATTGACAAACGATGTGAACTATGCAGAGGTGCCAAACAGATGGAAGCCATTGGTAATTTGACCAGAATGGTGATAACAATACATGCGCCATAAAGAACATCTTAATTAAAACAGCAAACGCGGGTATGAATCTAATAATACGAAAAGTAAACCGCCGAAAAAAGGTTTGGACTCCACATGGAGACAATATTATCGCTGAGGACAACTTTGTAAAACAGTTAGTAAAGCATTTCAATTGAATTTAGATACATAGTCAGAAAGAAATGAAAAGGATCTAATAAATAAAGAAGACAATAAACAGCAAAATAGAAA